TAGCCAATGGCGATTCAATTGCCAAGGTGTTCGTAGAGGGCTGTAGGGGTTGAATATGAGACAGGCCCAAAAAAAACTCTTTTTTTTTAAACAGGAATGTTGCAGTGTAGTCACATGTTTTCTACCTAAAAAAAAAAAAGATCATTAATGACTAATTTGAATGATCACATATTCATTGTATACTGTGCTTCCTCCCTTTTTCAATATATGTGTATAATTTTTAAGGATGATTGTTGTGGTTGAAAGACGCTTTTTAGGAAGTACTTTATTTGGTGTTTCATCTGTATCAAATGTTATTGTGATGAAATAGCAGTCAGTACATGTGTTTTATTAGATTATTTCACATACTCTGAAAGAAGTGTGCTCTTTTGGTTATATCAATCTCATATCTTTAATATTTACAATTCAGTTTTTAATTACCTATTACAGGACACATTCGTTTCTTTAGAGTGTGAATTGTGACTTTCTAATGTCACACACTGGAGTAAATAATTCAGTTCTTGGGCATTGCATGACATGTTTTTATCGTTTCTGTCTGTGTGATCTTCAGGTCATGAGCTCCATGAATGGAGAGCTGAACACAGACGACCCAACCGCGGGACACTCCAACGCTCCCATCACTGCACCCACTGAGGTAGAGGTGGCAGAAGACACAAAGTAAGTTTATTATCACAGGAAGTCCCCCAATGGTGTTCCTAAAATAACAAATCAGTTTTCATTCTTTTAAAAAAATTATGTTCTGCAGGTAAAAGCATTTGTATACAAATTACAGAGAATAATGCATATTAATCACTGACACTTTTTCATTCATTATTTTATTTTTATATTATCCCTGTATGTGGGTGGTTATGAATCATAACAGACAAATGAATCACTGTAAAATCACTGTAGCTCATCAATTCTAATTGAAAATGAATTATTTATGAATTACTAATTTTGTCACTGCAAATTGCTATATGAATGTCCCTTTACTGCTTTAATGTTCCTCATTATGCCGCAGCGCTCTTCAGTTTTTAACCTTATTCCGCTTAAGACATTTGAATTTTTTATATATATATATATATATATATATATATATATAT